TGTTGAGTTTCCTAATAAAAAACTCAGTTAATTTTAATAATAAACCCGTAAACCAATCCAAGCTTTAAACAATTGTACTAGCAGTTGTTTACTATAGTAGTAGAATAGCGAATTTGAACCCACGACTTGCCGAGTTTGTAGTACTCTCCGTAACTGCTGTCGTTTTTAATTTCAAGATTATAATGTCTCACAGCATATAATAATACTGACCATTTTCTATTATTCTATTCCATAAAAAAAGGAACACGGCAGCGCATTGCAGCTTGGTCAGGAGAGGAACAAGAGGGACCGAGGGAAAAGTGGGTGGAACGTGTCCACGAAATAATTCAAATGATGCCAGTAAAATTTCAAAAAGTCTGAAAATTCGTAGTTACTGAATAACAAAAATTTATTGTCACTGAATACAAGAATACTCTGTAGCATTGAAAGTTCTAGAAATAGAGATATCTCCACAAATAAATATAAAAATACATTTATTAATTCGTTCATTATTTATTTATTTATTTAAACTTTATTGAACCTTAAATATTAAGTACAGGAACAAAAGGCGGATTTAATGCTAAAAGCATTCTCTGCCAACCTTAGGGCAGTGACAGAACTACGTAGGTATACACACATATACATATATATATATATATATATATATATATATATATATCCATCTACACACATACATGCATATACACATACATATATACATACATCAATACACACAAATATATAAATTTATATATTATAAGAAAATATAATATAACACAAGATACATAAAGATACATAATAACATTAAAGCCTATCGAAAGTCCACCCTTGTATCCAACATAAATGCCTCATAGGCAGGATTTTGCCATAGTTGCCTCGCATTGGAGGCGGGTTGGCAACAGAAGTTTTATTTTCGGTTGTTATCAGGATGATGCTGCTGCCTATTTAAGTTTTAGTTAACGACACCGACGGGATATCGAGTACTTGATATTCTAACACTAATATTACACTGCGAAAAATACATTATATAGTTTAATTCCCAGTTTTGGTATATACAATAGAATACTTTTAACAATTTTATATTTTTTATAGAATCAAGGTGTGAGAGAGAGAAGACCACTTGCTATCTGCACGAGCTACTTGATGGTAAGTAGATGTGGTTAGTTATATAGCATAATTTTTGTTTTTTAAAAGGGTAAGTTACAACCTCTCTATTCTCAATGTCTGGTGGAGCGATTAGTTTCCCGCTCTGCTTTTGTGGAAGAGGAATGAAAGGACCACGCTCTCACAGAATAGCTGAACTTTCACGGCTTATTTTTTACTATATTCATTGATAAATAAATAACAATTTTAAAATAAAATAATTTAGATTAGTTAATTAATTAGACTCTTAAATTAATTTGAAACATAATGCGGTAGATTATTCTAAAAATAAATACAGACAAACATTGTAAACAGTTTTAAAATAATTTTGCTTTTTCTTTAGGTAAATTAGTACGTACAAAATAGCCTAGAGCAATATCCAATCTTAATTTAAACCCCACTATATTTGAATAGCGTGAAAAACAAACCATTAAATTAAACGCGTAATTTGATATTTCGAAAGCCAAAAACTACATAGCGAAAGCAGTTATGAAGATGAAGATGACCAGTATAATAATAATTCGACAGAACGTTCGACATATTTCAATTTACATTTACGTTAATTAATTGCCTAAAGTCAACATTAATTGAATGTGTCGTAGCTTAATTGAGCTCAAAACATATAAAATGTAGGCTGGGCACAAAAGCCTTTTTAAAACTTAAAACAACATTAATTTAAAAACTTGATATTGATTAAGAAATATTATTTAATAATATTTTCCGGTAGCAATGCATAGATAGGCACTCCTGCAAACGGACTCAGAAATTACAGATGACTGCGCGGCAAATCACCTTCATTGATGGTGTTCATTTTCTTATATATATATATAAAGTACACTGACAGCTATCAATTGTTGGTAGTTGAGATTTTTTGGTCAACTATGTGTTGATTGAGATCATCATTCCCCGAGGCTCATGGCAGAATCACCCGCAAGGAAGCTGGTAGAGGTATTTATCCAAAGGTGGACTTTAACGAAGCTTGAGGTTAAAGGAAAAGAAAAAAAATGAAAGTGCTCATAACAAACATACGCTGTTTTTTAATATATGTAGAGAAATAAAAGATGTTTGAGCAACAGTAGCCTAATTAGTACTGGATTTCTGTCGTAAAACACTCCTAATACAAGCATTTTAAGCTTACCAAGAGTGAAATAAGGGATTTTTTTTAAATTTTAATAGCATTGCTAGTATTTAAAAAAGATAGATATTTATTTTTTCTTCACTAAGGGTGACAAACGAGCAAATAGTCCACCAGATGTTAAGTGGATGCTGTAGGCTATAGACATCGACATCAATCCTCGATAAATAATCAAAATTTAGATGCGTTGTCACCCCTGAGGACTAAGATGGACTAAAATATAGCTGCAGCGTGGCTCTACCACGTATTGAAAATATGTATTTAACATTGTCAGTATAAATGTGAACAATATTTTATTTTAATTTTAGTACATTTAAAGTATTTATAACATTTATTTTTAATCTTATATAAATATATAACTATAAATTCTAATAGACACTAAATACACAATATTTTATTATATACAATATTAAAAAATTATAATAAAAAACACTAAAACTAATAAACTAACTATCATACACGCCATGGTATCGTGCCAAGAACACTGGGGCTGCGTTTCCTCGCTGAATGGCTCTATTTAGCTTTGAGCGAGAAAAAAACCAGCCCTCTTATCACCAGAGTTCTTTTAAGAACTTCACCGCACGTGGACCCCACGGACCGATAGTCTCTATAGTAAATGGCACAAATATGTACTCATCTCTCAGAGAGTCATACTTGCGCCACTTACTCAGTTCAGCTGCCTCTGATCCTGCTCCAAACGAGGTACTCCTGAGATGAGAGGCCGCCTAAGTGTCTCTGCAAGTAGCATCTCACACTAGGGCTTTATCTCTCTCCCAAGGGGCCAATTTCATACCATCGGGTCTCCTGCCATCGTCTCTAAATATTCCACAAGGCTCTAAAACCGAGGGAACATTTATAGAGACAGGAGCCCATCGGATGACATCGTTCAAAGAAGCTGCACTTTTTTACATGAAAGTCCGTGGAGCCCAAACTTGTCGACTTGAATTAAAATGTCTCTGTTAGGATTTAACAGTGAAGGACTTGCAGGTCATATAGTGCAAATTTTAAAATGTGCTGTAAAAAAAATCATGAACCATCAATTCGTGGAGTATTAAGCGAAGAGATTTTAGTTATGAAAACTTTCAAATGTTTAAAAGATGTATTGATAGTCTAATTTTTCCAAGATAGATTTAATTCTTCGGATTCTAATACAACTTACGATAGTCTTTTTGACATATTCAAGTGCTTATATGATCTATGCCTTCCCTATAAAACTTTAAAATTACTCTAAATTCTAAACAAAAATGGATATCAAAGGGACTGAAGGCTTGTTGTAAAGAAAGCGGGACTTACTTTGACACTTTAGGAGAAATAAAAGCAAAGATGCTCTATCACTATTAAAAGAATTTTCATCAAAATTTAGGAAAATAATAAATAACACATGCTCACAAAATGACTATTATATAAATAAATCGAAAAATAAAATCGAAGCAACTTGGTCTGTTATAAATAAATCCAAAACAAGTATTCCCAAAGAACCAATACAGAAGCTAAGAGTAGGTAATGAATACTTACTAACCCTATTGACATCACGTTTAATGAATTTTCTATTGATGTCATAAAAACTGACGATTGTACTGTATTATTACGATATTTCTGTAAATTATAATACTAATGACAGTGCCAACAATAATTGTAATAATAATTTAACTTAAGGTCATTTATCTCGTTTCAATTATTCAATAATTATTATGAATCTCTATTCTTAAGCCCGAGAACACTTGACTCAGTATGTAAAGTTATAAATAGTCTAAAAAATACTAATAGTGTTCGTTTTGACGACGTTTGTACAAGAGTAATAAAACATGTTAGATTTACAATAGCAAGACCTTTGAGTCACATTATAAATTTAAGCTTTACTACAGGTATATTCTCAAATAATTTTAAATGAGCTGTAGTAAAGCTATTATTTAAAAAAAGGTGATAAACAAATTGACAATAATTACTGTCCAATTGCAGTACTATCAATTTTCTCAAAAATATTGGGATAACTGTTCATGGTCAGCTTTACGCATTTTTGGAAAAATATAATATTTTAAATAAATATAAAAAAGGATTTCGCAAAAATACTACAATCGCAACAGCAATATACGACTAGTAAAAAAAAACAGTAATTTGTTTAGGTAAAACCATCCCATCATGTTCCATTTATTAGTATAGGACGAAAGTATTTGACCATGTAGACCATAATATATTGCTGGAAAAACTAAGCCGTTATGGTGTAAGAGGTAATTCAACTTTATAAAATTTTATTTAACAGATAGAACACAAATAACTGTAATCAGTCAGATTTGTTTATCTATCTACTAGGCAAGAAAAAATATATACGTCTAATAATAGAACGATTTAGCATGGCATCCCCCAAGGTAGTGTTTTGGGGCCTTTGCTCTTTATAATATACATCAATGATATTGTTGAGTCTTGTAAATACCCAATGATACTGTTTGCAGACGATAGCACTAAATGATGTGTCTTACCTAGTATGAAGAGCACCTCCCGCCCTCCCTCAATTAGAATAGAATAGAATAGAATAGAATGATTTTTATTCAATATGGATTATTACATAATACTTATTGAAAGTCATTATTTTATTTACCACTGGTTCGGAAAATACCTCTGTCCTGGGAAGAACCAGCAAGAAACCCAGCGGGACTTTTTTTTTTAAACATAATTTCACTTAACAATAATTTTGATTATACAATTTTAAATGAATTTTCATAGAACCAGCATGGTGGCGATCACCTTATTCCCAGGGGTTATTTTCACTCATGTATTCCTTGATATTATAATAACCCTTTTTGTACAGTTTTTCTTTAATAAAACTTTTAAACTTGTTTATTGACAAACTTTGAACATGTTCTGGGATTCTGTTGTAAAAGCGTATACATTGCCCCATAAATGAATTACTAATTCTGTGGAGTCTTGTAAGTGGCATTACAAGCTTATGTTTGTTCCTAGTGTTTAAGGTATGAACATCCTTATTCTTATTAAAGCTATTTATGTTTTTATGTACATACATTACATTTTCATAAATATATTGCGATGCCAAAGTTAATATGTTTATTTCTTTAAATTTTTCTCTAAGGGACTCTTTACAATTTAGATTATAAATCGCCCGTACGGCTCTCTTTTGCAAAACAAATATAGCTTCAATATCAGTCGCATTACCCCATAGCAAAATTCCATAAGACATTACGCTATGAAAGTAACTAAAATACACTAACCTAGCTGTCTCAACATCTGTGAGACTTCTAATCTTTCTTACAGCATATGCTGCAGAACTAAGTCTGCTTGCTAATTTAGATATATGGGGGCCCCATTGAAGTTTCGCGTCAATAGTAATACCGAGAAAAACAGTGGTATCCACAAGACTCAACTCCTCCCCATTTAAGAGCACATTGGTTTTCGAATGTTTTACATTAGGTATTGTAAATTTAATACATTTTGTCTTATTGCCGTTTAAGAGCAAATTGTTGGCGTTAAACCAATGTACTAGTTTCGATAGAGCATTATTTACATCGTCATATTTAATTGACTGCCGTTTCAGTTTGAAAATTAAAGAGGTATCGTCAGCAAATAATACTATATCGTGATTGTCCCCTACAAGATAAGGTAAGTCATTAATATAGATTAAGAACAGGAATGGGCCAAGAATCGAGCCCTGAGGAACGCCCATTGATACTACCGATCCGGAGGAACATTTACCATTAATGACGACTTTTTGAGTTCTGTTACTTAAATATGAAGTAATAAGTTTAAGCGCCAAATTTTTTACACCGTAATGTTGTAGTTTCCTGATTAATGTATCATGATGAACACAATCGAAAGCCTTGGAAAGGTCACAGAAAATACCTAAGGCATCTTGTGAATTCTCCCAGGCATTAAAAATATATTTCATAAGCTCAACACCGGCGTCAGACGTCGAGCGACCCCTTGTAAAACCAAATTGATTTTTATGAAGTAATTTATTTGTATTAAAAAAAATTAACAATTGATCCAAAATTATTTTTTCAAAAATTTTACTGAGAGTTGGTAGTACAGAAATAGGTCTATAATTAGCGGGGTCCAATGTACTACCAGATTTAAATAAAGGTATTACTTTACTATACTTCATTAAATCAGGAAACACACCAGAATCGATACAAGTATTAAAAATAATAGCAAGATGAGGTGCAATTAAATCTATTATGGACGTAATCACTGTAACGGAAATCCCCCACAAATCTGCGGTTTTCTTTACATCAATGGTTTTGAAGTATTTTACAATATTATGCGGTAATACTTTTTCAAATCTAAATTCTTTTAAACAGGTATTAACATTCTGTTTAAGTAATGATTCGGCGACAGTTGGAGAAGCATTCAATGACTCTGTTGTCAAGATAGGAACATCAGTGAAATATTTCTCAAACACCGCTGCAACTTCTTGATTTGATTTAGTCAATTCATTATTAATTTTTAATTGATAGTTTGAATTACGAGGTTTCTCATTACCGGTTTCGCTGTTAATTATACTCCACGTCATTTTAATTTTATTCTTAGCTGCCTTAATTTTGTTACTAATATGTAATGATATGGCTGTGGAGCAAACTCTTTTAAACATTTTAGAATAATTTTTTACATATTCTTTAAAAGCATCGGAAAGATTATACGATCTTTCATGGTAAAGGTCATATAACCTTCGTCTGCTTTTATAAATTCCTACTGTCGCCCACTCATTAAATGCCTTGCGACTGTTTCTGGAGAATGTTTTAGAAGTGAATGTTTTATTGAATTCATTGTTTATAAAGGTAAATAATTCTCTATATAAATAGTCTGCATTGTTCTTATAAGAAAGGGATGGAAGGATTTTTAACATATTACTTCTAAATCTCTCCAGGCGTTTTGCATTAATAGGAACAAACACAATTTTCTCATTTACCTGTTTTTTGTGCATATAAGGTAACGAAACCAGTTGTCCACAGTGATCTGAATTGGGTGCACTATCCCCGTCACCACTAATCCCAGCAACGCTACTCCCAACACCTGTACACTAGGCAAGACACACCACTGACGACAATACGACACGTGTTTCGCCTCTACACGAGGCATCCTCAGTTGATTTAGACTCTACGGTGGCTGACCGTTAATACACTTAGACAAGACACACCACTGCCGACAATACGACACGTGTTTCGCCTCTACACGAGGCATCCTCAGTTGATGTACACTCTACGATGGCTGACCGTTAAGTTACTTAAGACAAATTTTTTAAAAACTTTTAAACATTCAATCAGTTTTATAAGCTTCCACTTATTTAATATTAACTGATGATCACCTACTTGTAGAAATTAAATTAAATTTTTAACTCTGTTTATCAAGAAAGCTGCATTTCACTTTCAACTACACGTTAAAATACCGATATCTCATATACAAAATATAAAATAAACGCTTTTTTGCCTTGACATACACTCCACAGACTATTGTAGTAACTATTTGTTGGCAACATTTTAAATTCCTTTGGCGACAATTTCTAGTCTGTGCATCTGCTTAACCACAGACTGATTTTTGTGTGTTTGTGGTAGCAATATAAATGTAAGCAAACGAAAGATTTATAATTTCTTATTTTATATAATAAGGGTGACAAACAAGCGCACAGTTCAGCTGATTAAGAATCAAAATTCAGATGCGTTGTCACCTCTGAGGGCTAAGATGGAATACCTTGTTTCCAGTAAAAAAGGTCTACGGTTCTCTACACACCATAAGAAACACAGCAGCCTTAAACTGGTATTTTACGCTGGTATTCTGTGAGAGCGTGGTCCTACTCCGGTCGAGCCGACCCATTCGTGCTACAACGAATATAGCTGCAGCGTAGCACTACCACGTATTAAAATATGTGTGTATGTTAAACTAAGTTACTAAAACTAGTTAGGGAAGATTGTTGCATGTCAGCGGTAAATAGTACATCAAAAACATCTTCTAACTTCTATATGGAAGACTGTAAAAATTGGTTAACTACAATAAAAATTTTCTTCTCGAGTTATTCTACTGCAACAATCTTCGATAAAAACCTAACTCTGATGTACGCACTTATGTTACCATTACAGTACGAGACAATATAAACCTACATGTGGATTGCCCGATTCCGGCTCAGCTGTTACAATACTAGGTAACAACTCCCATCTTGACCTATCTTCTTCTTCTAACTTATCTATTATCAAATCCGACATTTGTTTCAGCTAGTGGTCACTAATTATCTGCCGTCAGGTATATTAATCTTCCTGTTAATTTTGAAAACCTATTTAATTAACTAAAAGTCTACATTATTCTGTCGGTTATATCACCACTCATTTTAGGTGTAAACTTTTGGAAGAAATTAAAACTATTCTCAAAATTCCCTAGGTCTATTTCACTATCTCATACTAACAAGCTGCAAATATCTTCTTTTGATAATAATTCTATAACCTTACGTTCTTATGATGGTATTGATGACGTCCAAATGGATTCGGCATTTAATATCCGATACCGTCGTAGTCCATGAGTTTCTGGCCTTTGTTCAACAAAAATTGGATGTCATGGACCAGGTGTCTCTGTTTCCAGTCCAGTTTCCAGAGATACCTTGTCCTGATTCAGCCGTGACCCAAATCCGTTTTATCACACGTCACAAGAATGGATGCGGTAAGAAAGACCTGCAAGATATCTTCAGGCCGTTCAATGAGACCGACCTTGATAACATGCTAATTATCGTCGCGCGTGATCTCAACAAGCTGCCTCCCGTTAAGTTCGATCACGTAGTTGTGACCAGATTGTTGAAAGACATCACCACGTTGAAAGCCGAAGTTACCGACATTCGGCAAATTTGAAGAATCGGAACGAGCCGCAACAGAGCTGAGGAACGAAGTCACTATGATGCGCAGCATAATTACAACATCTGCTAATTCACCGCCGTCGCAGAATGTAAGTACGACACGTGCTAATCGTAATAGTAGTCCTATTCATATATTTAGAGTTGGTCTCTATAATGCTGGGTCAATAAGAAGCAAAATAGACGAGTTTCAGGTTGCCTTACAACGTGACTCTGCTGATATTATGGCAATTAACGAAACATGGCTGCAGACAGGTGACGATGTAAGTGCCCCATTAGTTCCTGGGTATAGCTTCCGTCATATTCCTCGATCGTGTAACATGTCAAGAACTAGGGGCGGAGGTGTAGGTTTCTACATTAGACGAGGGGTAAGTGCTCGTTCCTGTCCATATATTAACACATTTACTGAAGTGGAGCAACAATGGATATCGGTAACCATACATAGGACTAAAATATTAATTGGTACAGCATATCAACCACAATGGGTCAATGTGGATAATTTTCTTGATTCTCTCACCGACACTTTAACTTCACAATCCAACTTTGATTATTTTATATTATTAAGCGATTTTAACATTAACATTTTGGATACTAATGACAGTAAAACTCTTCGTCTTAAACAATTTTTGACCTATACTAATTCAAGTAACTGTATTTCAGAACCTACACATTTTACACGAGACAGTGCAACGTTAATTGATTTATTTATCACGGATGCACGTGTTACAAATACATTTGCTAAACATACACCAGAATTAGGAGGGCACGCTTTTGTTTTGGTTGACTTCCATTTTAAAAAACCTGAGATAGCAGCAATACAACAAATTATAAGACCTATTAAAAGTATCAATATGCTTGCTTTTCTATCAGATCTTGAAGCTATAAATTGGGATACTATCTAAGGGTTTAGCTGTGTCGATCAAATTGTGTCTGAGTTTTCCAAAAAAAATTTAGAATTATTTGATAAGCATGCTCCTGAGATATTAGTAACATTTAAAAAAAGATAACTGCCATGGTTCACTAGTAATGTTCGGTACATGATGCAACTGCGTGACAGCGCTCATAATAAGTATCGACAAACAAAAGCTGAAAGTGATAAAACTCATTACAAATCTCTTAAAAGACTAGTTAATAGTTGTCTTAATACTGAAAAGAAAGCATATTTTGACTATCATATTAATCAGAACCTACATAAAGCAAACATTTTGTAGAAAAACTTGAAATCGGTAGCATTACCTTCATTTAAAAATTATAACAATTTACCAGACCATTTTAATGATCCTGATAAAATTAACCACCACTTTCTTAATATTCCGGACATAAGCAATACTGGTTCGTTTTATTCTAAATTCTTTAAAAGTTCTAAATATAACTCAAACACATTAAAGTTAATTCCAGTCCATTAAAGCGTAGTTGCAAAAGTTATTATGGCTATCAAGTCGAACGCACAAGGGGTTAATCGAATTAGTATGGAAATGATACTTTTGACACTACCACAAACATTAAAGATTATAACAGCAATAATTAATAGGTCATCACAGAATCAATTTTTCCGTCCCGTACCAAAAAAAAGACAACGCAGTTGATTTAAGCGACCTAAGGAAAAAGTTGTACACTTTGAAGTAGTATACTTTTGTGAACTAAATAAAATACTACCTAAGTTACAATCAGGTTTTAGGGAGAGTCATGGGACAGCTACAGCCCTTATAAATTTCGTAGATGACGTGCTGTCTTTTTCGGATTCTGGCAAGGGCACGTTCCTCACTCTTTTAGATTTTTCAAAAGCATTCGATTCGATAAATACGGATTTGTTAATAGATAAACTATCATATTACGGTTTTGATAACGGGGCATTAATGTGGTTTAAGAGTTATCTCAATAATCGTCTACAACAAGTTATAATTAACAGGAATGATGGCGAAAGCTATGTTTCCCAACTTCTTCCTGTCAATAAAGGTGTCCCTCAAGGATCTATTTTAGGACCTTTGCTTTTTATCATTTATAGTTCCGATATAACAGCATGTCTTGAAAATTGCAAATACCATATTTATGCTGATCACCTACAGGTGTATGTACATTAGTGTAGATAGTAAAAATGTAAATACAGTGGTAGATAAGTTAAATGAGGATCTTCAACGCATTAGTTCTTGGTCACAAAATAACTCCATGCTCCTTAATCCTACAAAATCTAAGTTTATTATTATAGGTACTAAAAAGCAGGTACAGGACATAACTTCTACTGATCCTAACATACGTATTGATGGGGAAAACATTGAACGAGTTTTTGAAGTACGAAATCTTGGGGTTCTTATGGACAGTTATTTAAAGTTTGAAAATCATATAATTAATGTCGTAAAAAGTTATTTTTTCCGATTGAAAGTATTATATTCAATTAGGCAGTTTATTACTGTAGACTTACACGTTAAACTATGTGAAACCTTGATTCTGACTAAACTAAATTATTGTATAACTTTGTATGGACCTTGTGTATTTAAAAAATCAAAAAATTTAATTCAAAGGGTACAAAATGCTTGCGTTCGTTACTGTTTTTACATCCCAAGACGAACACATGTTACACCTTACCTTAATGCCTCTAAATGCAGGAACGTCTCAAATTATTTTATGCCTCCCTGCTATTTGGAGTAATAAAAACAAAGATACCAGAATACCTATATGAAAAGCTTCAGTGGAGACAAAATCAACATATGTAGGGTATTCGAAAGTGTGCAAAAGTACTTTGCATACCTCAACATAGGACATCAGCATTTCGTGGTAGTTACAAATTTATGGCCACAAAATTTTGGAATGATCTTCCACCACCATTACGAGTATACATATACATAACAAATAAGAATAGTTTTAAGAGAAAATACAAAGAGTATTTATAAAGTACGCAGAAAATGTCATAAACATAAAAAAAATCGGCAGGGGCTGAGTATCCCATATTTAGTTATATTCAATTATGTAACTTATTTTTACTACCAATATTCTTTTTAATAACCATTACGTTGTTTTAGCATAATTATATTATAATTAGTCTGAATAAATAAAACATTACTGTAGCTCTTACTTTTAATATTTTTTTTCATATG